CCCGGGTGTCCTCACCGGGACGCCAACCGGCGACCTTCTAGCTGCGAGGCGCTAACGGTGCTAACCACCCAGACACCTGCTGCCCCGTTTTATTAAACAAGTAAAACAATAAGAGTTCAGGATTTTTAAGGATTTCCATGTTTTGGCAAATGCTTTGCTATGCTATCCAGGTATCAGTTCTTGAGCTCCTTGATAACTAACAATCAGTGTCAGCGCTGTGACTCACTGCAGTTGGCTTCATCAGATGCATCAGGACAGTCCACCGCGCCGTCACACAGACTGTTACCGTGGACACAGCTTCCTGTTTGACACTGGAACTGATCGCCTGCACACGGAGCTGTTCACACATCACAAGATCAATCCATAGGTGGCACAAGTACAAATACGTAGCATCAATACATCTAACTCGGGATTTCCTGATAGGGTTTTTTGCCCCTGATCTGATCTGAGTGATTTCATTTTCAGAACTGCAGATATCGCGTCCCGGTTTTCCTGATAATACTTCAGGTACATCAGGGTTCATAAATCCGTTCCTTATTTCTAAACATCCAGACATTTAATCATTTTACTGCAGCTGACCTCGGACCTCAGACACTCACCTGGTGCCCCCAGGTCGACCCCTGAGGTGAAGTTGGCTTTGAATCCTCGGCCAAACCCCGACTCGTCCGTAAAGAACCGCACTGTCATCTGATTGGCTGTTGAGAACAGGTCATGGGCGGGGCCATCGCTGCCAGTGAGAACAGCTCAAGAAAAAAACAACAAACAAGTTAATACCGAAAGCAGGATAAACTCACCTGCACAGGTACAGGTCAGAGTGAAGCTGCAGAGGATTATGGGAAAACACTTTCTCACCCAGTAAGGTCGAGTTCAGTCCCGCCCCGTCCCGCACCTCTACCACGTCAAAGGTCGCTTCAATGTCAAAGTCCAGGAAGTGGAGCTGAATGTTGTGACCCTCTGCAGCATGAAGGGTCCACACACCTGCAGCAGCAGAGCATCATGGGTAATTACCACCAGGTGACAGGTGAGGTTCAAAACAACAGGCAAATACGTCACACGTGTTTAATTCAGCGACCAGTGGGTCTGTAAACAACACATCAAGAAACGTGAGAATTGATCATTTTACAAACAAAAGTCCAAAAAAACAAACAGACCTACAAGTAAAAAATACAGGTACAAGTAGTACAGGTGTAAGTACAAAGTAAAAGACCAGGTGCGTGTATAAGGTATAAGTACAAGCATGAGCAGAGCGTACAAGTACAGGTGTAAGTCAAAGGTAAAAGTAGAAACCAGGTGTACTCACATTCTGCCTCGTTCCCGTAGGATTGTGGGTAGTTTGGTGAGCTGAAAGTGGAGTTTGGTTCCCAGAGGTTGAAGGGTCCTCCGCAGTCAGCTGGACCAATCAGAGAACAGTGGAGGCGGAGTCAGAGTGGATCTACAGCACAGGTGTGTGTGTGGCTACACTCAGGTAGTGTATAAATACTGACACAGAGTAATTACCGAACACTCTTTGTGTCTCACCTGGTGGGAGGGTGGCAGAGATTCTCACCTGGTATGGGGGGCGGGGTCAACGGAGGCGGTACATTGGTTGGTTCAGGGGGGGCGGGGCCACATGCATCAGATGTCAGTGTGATGTCATCCAGAGCAATGTCGCTGAGGAACCCTCCCTTCTTCAGAGCTTCAAAGGTCACCTGCAGAGACCAGAGGTCACCTGATCAGTCACTTGCTGACCAGGTGACGATGAGGCCGTGTCATGTGATGTCACTGACCGTGGCCTCTGATGTCAGGTTGAGGGTCACCTGGCCATAGTTCCAGGTGTTACCATAGTTTCCGTCTTTCTGGAACAGCACGGTGGCGGTGGACTCGGTCTGCGTTGGCGCCAGCAGCAGCAGGACTCTGAGACGGTGGACGTTCTCCCCAAACATGTGGTACCTGAAGACACACGTTCCTACAGGTTCACTCTTTGTTTGTTTGTGTCCTGTGTGATTGTTTACTAGTTTACTTTGCTGTTGTTGCTTTTGTTTTGTGTCACTTACATGCTAATTTACTGAATTATTTATTTTGGTTTTTGCCTCTGTAATTCCATGTTTCCTTGTTTGTTTGTTTCATGTGTAAACGTTTTCAGTGTTTCTGTATTCCTTTACATGTTTATTTGTTTATGTTGTTTATGCATACGTTTGTTTTATAAACTTGTTTAGATTCCATTTGTGTGTTTTCCATTATTTACATAATTGTTTGTATATTCTCCATTGTTTACATGCGTGTTTGTTTGTGTGTTGTCTGTTGTTTACCAGAAGCTCAGACACATGGGACGTGTGGGCGGAGCCAGCGGGAGGCTGTGGATCCTGAAGCTGCTCGGCTGCTGGCTGGGGCTCACAGGAGTGACGATGTAGAAACCTGACAGTTCAACGCAATCTGATCAATGTGATGTTTTACACATCAGATCAGCTCTAATCAGGACTGAACTGAAACCCACCAGAGCCGTTACCCAGCGTGTGGTCCCCACTCGGGCCTGTGTTTGGGGGGAAGGTGGAGCCGCTGGTTCGGATCCAATCAGAGTCGTCGTCCTGCGGCTGCCTCCAGAAACACATGCCGTTCTCAAAGCTGCAGCTGAGCTTCTCCTGGTCTGAACACACAAACAGTCAATTACAGAAACGGGAAGTTGCACACACTCTGCTCGACGCTCCACGCAGCTCTTACTGGACAGGCTGGACATGTTGGCGGCACTGTAGGTGGCCTTGAACCCTGGCAGAGTGATGATATCATCGGAGGCAAACTCCACCGTCGATTGGTCGGTCAACAGCCACACAGTCCCAGGTGGGGTGGAGCCTGAGAGCTCAGCTGCCAATCATGGTAACATGTCAGATAATGCGTCAACAGGTGAAGGAGCAGCTGAACTAGGTGTTTGGTTCACCTGTGAGCAGTTTGTCCAATCCGATGCCTTCGTACAGTCTGAGAGTGTCGATGCTCTCTTCGGTTTCAAACTGCCTGAAGTCAAGCTGAATGGAGAGTCCTGTGTCAACCCTGAGAACACCACAACTCTGTGTTACAGTGTGCTACAGTGTGTGTGTGTGTGTGTGTGTGTGTTACTGTGTTACACTGTGTGTTACAGTGTGTGTTATAGTGTGTCTTACAGTGTGTGGGTGCTACAGTGTGCTACAGCGTGCTGCATAACAGGGAGGGCGTTCCACAGCCTTGGGGCAGCAGAAGAACAGGCCCGATCAGCCATGGTGCAGAGCTTGGTTCTGGGGACTTGGACAGTGTTTGAGTTTGTAGATCGGAGGGTACGTGAGGAGGCCTGTGGGGAGTTCCTGGAGGTAAATGTAGTGGTGAGTGAGGAGGGAGACCATAAACTCAATTCTGAGTGAGACAGGAAGCCAGTGAAGGGATTTCAGGATGGGGGTGATGTACTCATGCTTGTACACCCTCATCAGGATCCTGACGGCGCTGTTCTGGATGGACTGTGTTCTCTGCATGCTCCTGATGAGGAGTGCATTACAGTAGTCCAGCCTGGAGGAGACAAAGGCGTGGACAAACTTCTCTGCATCTGCCAAGGTGAGTGCAGGATGGAGTTTGGTGATGCTCCTGAGGTGATAGAATGACGTTTTGCAGCGGTGTTTGATATGGGTGTCAAAGGACAGTCCAGATAAATAGAGGGTGGGGCCCAGGACCGAGCTCTGAGGGACACCACAGGTCACGTTGTGTGGGTACGATTTTGTTTTGCCCAGGATGACATGTTCTGTTCTGCCAATCAGGTATGACGTGAACCAGTTATGTGTGATGTCTGACAGTCCAGTGGTGTGCTGCAGGCAGTGGAGGAGGATGTTGAGGTCAACGGTATCAAAAGCAGCTGTTCGGTCCAGGAGGATGAATAGTGAGGGTGAGCCGGTGTCTGCTGCCATCAGAAGGTTATTGGTGACCCTAAACAAGGCTGTTTCTGTGCTGTGGCCAGAAGCTAGACTGGAATTTCTCAAACAGATTATTTTGCTTGAGGTGATCCTGAAGTTGTGCTGCAACTGTTTTTTTCCCCCAAAACCTTGGTTAGGAGGGAAGATTGGAGATGGGCCTGTAGTTGGAGAAGACTTCTGGATTCAGGGTGGGGTTTTCCAGTGGTGGTCTGATGACAGCAGTGTTTAATGCAGGTGGGATATGACCGGCCAGGAGGTACTGGTTTATGATTTTGGTGATGAGTGGAGAGATGGCAGAGATGTTGGCCTTCAGCGGAGCTGGAGGGAAAGAGTCCAAGGCACAGGAGGACGGTCGTATTGTTTTTTTGGTGATGTCCTCCACCTCTGTCTGTGTGACGATGGAGAAAGAGCAGCCCGAAAACAAACAAAAAACAAAAACAAACAAACAAACAAACAAAACCTCCTATCACCTCCCTACAGCCTGCTGCTGGCATCAGCACCGACCACACTGGACCTGTTCTAGGCTCTGATCCAGGTGGTTCTCTCCTCACCAGATCCTTGCTGGTGTTGGATCTGCTCTCAGACGTATGTCGCTTTGGAAAACAGCGTCTGCTAAATGAAACTGTAGAGTTGTAGCTTCTCCATATGCTCTCTTGTGTTCCCTGTATGCCTGCTTGAGGACGGTCTGTCCAGGGGCCTGTACTACGAAGCAGGATTTAGGGTTAGCGAGGTAACTTCAGGTTAAATCCTGGATTTTCAGTCCTACGACGGTGCTTCACTTCTTCTACACACCGTGAATTGTGAGGGGA